GTTGTGGGGATCGAACTCCAGCAACCTGAGGCTGACAGCTTTGTGGAAGCAGCCACTTAAACAACTGAGCCAAGGCCAGGCCCCCCAAAATTTTTGAAATCCTTAGGCTAAATTAAGCAAGTTCATCTAGAATGAAAAGTGTTCAAAAATAAAAAGAGGTTTTACAGAATCTTCCAAACACAGCTCCTCCATCTCCAGCTGACCGTCTATCACTTAAGAGTATAAAGCAGAAAACGGGGGATATGGGGGGAGTGGCTAAAGCTGGAGATTGATCACACCTGCAGTTGGAGCAAGGCCATCCTCAAGAATACAGTATCTGAGGCAAGTCACATGAATAAACTCTTAGGCTGAGGGGTTTCCTGTGGAATCCAACCTCCCGGGTGTATAAACAAACACACTGCAGCCACTGAAGCCCTTTGTTCTTCTCCTTCCTTCTCTTCCTCCCCCCTCCCCTCCTATTCTTCTTTCCTCAGGAGAGAAGGCTCTATCTGGCCTCAGTTTGCTATTAAAAGCCATTAAAATTTTAAAAATGACTTGCTTTCACAGCTCTACTGGTCTCATGTTTTTCTGTTTGATTGTTTCTTTTTAAAAAATATGTATTTGTTTGGTACAGGGTCTTGCTATGCAGCTCAGACTTGTAGTGATCCTCCTGTCTCAGCCTCCCCAGTGCTGGGATTCTAGGCATGCACCACCATGGCCAGTTTTGGTGGCCGGCATGGTGCACCCAGAGTTCCAGGGTTGGCACAGCATGTGGTACCCAGGTCCTTGTGTTTGCCAGGCAGGCGCTCGGACCACTGAGCTATCTCGGCAGTCATTGGTTCTGTTTCTTGTTTTTCTTTCCTGGGTGTTGATATCTGCACATCTAGTGTAGTAGTTGCATCTTTAGTTGTATGGAATTGGTTCCTTTTTATTCTCTTCTCTGTACAGAAAGGCTTCTTTCTGTGGCTGGGCATAAGGGTGTCAACTGGGTGTGGTTTCTCAGGCCTGATTCGGACTGGATGCAATAGTGCGGGCGGTGCGGTTCTCCTGTTTTAACCCTAAGTAACATCAGTAGTAGTCTCTGTGGTTGAGGGTGTGATAGGCGTGACTCTGACAGTGGGGTACAGTTTTGCTGGAGACAAGGGTGCTGCCTGTTGGCCCGAGGCTATGTGGTAAGTGCTCTGGTGGCTAGAGGTGCCGCCTGGGTAGGTTTTGGACTGAGCTTGGTATGTGAGTTTGTTTTTTGGTGTCTGGCCATGCAGCAGGTGTACAGAGGAGTAGGCCCACTTGGGAGGTTCAGGCCAGGTGCAGGTGCAGCGAGCTGGCTGGCTGTGTAGCAGGCTCACTGAGGGCGCGGTTAGGCTTCCCCCAGAATGGCTGATGGGTCATTCTTGGCCATGCAGGGGCCTGCTGACTGTGAGAGGGCTGTTGGCTGGGCGAGGCCACTGCCTAGCTATCAGGACAGGTACAGTTGTGCACACCTGTGCTGGGCCACTGCAGGTGCGTTTGCTTCCTCCCTGTGGATGTCATCTTGGTCTCTGTGGGATGGATTTCTGCATGGGTTTGGGAGGGCCTAAGCTCTGGGCAGTGGATTATGGGCTGTAGCCCCGGTGTGGAGCATGATGGGTGTGGGTGGTCTCAGGAGTGAAGGTACCATGTGGCAGCCCGGCGCAGGGCAGGGTGCACTCTAGCAGTGGGTCCAGTTCCAAGGTGGCATTGAGCTGTCACAGCTTACTGGTAGGGTGGAGGGTGCACAGTGTAGATCTCCACTCTGCCAATACAGCCACATTAACTTTGAGAAGTTTAGTTACTTTTCTCTCATTGGTGAGACAAAATACCTGACTTCTAAAGTAAGAGAGGAAAGATTTGTTTACCCTGTTTATGAAAGTTTCAGTCCACCGTTAGCTGGCTCCAAAGTAAGAGGGCACACGGCAGAGGGGGATCAGTTCATAGCAGCAGAAGACAGCAAAAGCAACAGAAGTGGGGAAGGGACAAGTCTCTTTGTGTCCCTTACATGTATGCGGGCCACACGCCCTAGGGCAGGTATAGCACTCATCTATAATATCGGATCATGAATCAGTCACAAACTTTAGATTCAGCCACCTCTAAAAGCCCGGCCCCCATGGTGGCATGAGATGGGGGCATCCAGACATAAACTGTAACAGAATCTCCTTAAACTGTTCCTGGCCTGTATTGGTTGCAGAAGTCTGCTGGACAGTCATCTGCAGAAGCAGAGGGGGCTGTTGGGGTCTCCAGCTTACCTTTCCCTGTAAAGAGAAGTCTTGGCACCACACTGGTCCAGGTGAGGGAGCTAGCACGGGAGCCGCAGGATCTGTCTCTCTCCTTCTGATGCTACTTGTCGCTCTGAGTGCCTCAGGGATCTCACTACTTCTCTGCTACTGTCCAGTGAGCTTTCTCAGTCACTCTAGTCAGAATGGAATGTTTATTCTTTGTTGTGGTCCTTGTGTGGTGGTTGGGGGTTGAGGAGGAGTCAGCAACCCTGTTCAGCAACCTTGCTGATGTTGCACCCTGATGTTTTTTCTGATTCTGAGCTCTCTGTTTCACCTTTTCAGACCCTATTTTCCTTCTGAGATGGGCAAAGAAAGGTGGCATGTGGTACTGGGTCAGGAATCCCAAACTGTGCTCCCCCCACTCCTGTTGTGCTTAGTGCCACCTGTCATGGGCAGTTTGAAGGGGTTGTTTGGACATACAGTTAAGACTTGGACTCAGTTGGAGAACAGATTTACTGCTAGGATAGTGGCCAGGTGCCTACTGGGAGATGATGCCTTTGACTACTTATTTATTTTATTTTTGTTTGATAGATTTTTTTTTTTTTTTTTTGATGCCAGGAGTCAAACTCAGGTCCTTGCACTTGCCAGGCAGGCATCGTGCCACTGCTATATCCCTGGTCCTGTGTGATGCCTTTTTTTTTTCTTTGCGGTACCAGGGATTGAACTCAGAACCTTGTACTTGCCAGGCAAGCACTTATTCCACTGAGCTATCTCCCTGACCCCTGTATGATGCCTTTGAATGGAGGAATGGTCATCCAGGTCACAGTAATACCCAGCATCCTGGTGAGGGCTTTGGCTTGAGTTCCTGCCTCATCTTGCGTGGCAGGCCTCATTCCCATGCTCCTGGTGGCTGGATAGTGGAAGACACAGGTGTGAATGTATTACTGTTCATGGGAGAAAGGAAACAAGCAGTGGAAGGAGTGTGCTGTTTTCAGACTCAATGTGGAGACCCTTACTTCCCTCCTCTTTGTTCCTATCAGGATCCTTGCCACTGCTGGAACTGACTTTGACCTGCGGACACTGAGAGCTGTGCGTGTACTAAGGCCCTTGAAGCTGGTGTCTGGGATTCCAAGTGAGTTCAAATAAGACGGTCAGGCCTGAGACTTACCCTGACCACCAGCCTCCTTCTCTCCTCACCATAGCCCCTTGAGATTGCTACCTTGACGTGTGTGTGTGTCGGGGGATGCTGAGGATGAAATCCAGAACCTCGTTCATGCTAGTACACTTTATCACTGAGCCACACCTTGTTCCCTGAGCTTGCCCCTTTTGACTCCAGGGAACTAGGTAGAAGGAAGGGAGGAACAGGCCCTTTCTAACCCATTCTCCACAGAGTCCCACAGGGTGGTCCCGTTGCTTTGCCCTGGCTTGGCTTCTCTAGATAGAAGCTTTATTTCCAGTTCCTTTCAGTGCAGGGCTATGATTGGACCTAAGGTGTGTTCTTGAGTATTGGCCAGAGTTGTGGCCTGGGGAATCTTGTGAGCCAGCGGCCACCCTGGCTGCTGTTACTCCAGTCCAGTGGAAGTTGGGTTTCGGTTTACATAAGGGCCTGTGTGGGCACGGATCTAGTATGGTGTCCTCGTAAGGGCACTGCGCTGGTTAGCTCATTGTTTTACATTGAACAGGCAAGGGCTCTGACCTGTATCCAGGATTATGAGCTATGACCTCCTTTGCCTGATTCCTGTGGCCTCGACTCCCTCATGTCCTATGGCAAGTACAAAAATGCTCTGGTTTTAGAGGACAGTAGAGCAGCCCTACCATCCCCAAAGAGTTGTGTCTGTTAGGAGCTGCTGTACTTTGTAGGATCCTCAGCTTCTCCCTCCCAGGGTGCCCTGCTCTTGCATCCCAGCATTCTCTGCTCTCCCTTTTCAGGGTCCCCTGCTTTGGGCTCCCAGCATTCTCTGCTCTCCCTTTTCAGGGTCCCCTGCTTTGGGCTACCAGTATTCTTTGCTCTTTCTTCTCAGGATTTGCTGTCCTTTCCTCTCAAAATTCTGTTTCTTTCTTTCTTCCTGCTCTTTATTTTATTCTTTTTCCTCTCAGGGTTCTCTGCCCTTGCTCTACCCTGAAGCTTCTAGATCCATGATCTCATCAGCTCACACTCCACTCCTGCTTCTTCCCCTGCTCTGAGACAACCACTCAGTCCACCTCTCTTAGCACCTCGTTCTTTGCCCAGAATATTCTCTAGTCTGTTCTATATGAGTATGCACTCTTCTGTCCTGCCTTCAACATTTCCTTCTCTGTGTCCTACTTTGAGTGCCATCAGCTCTGTGCTTGCTGTCCACAAAAATTTACCCCAGGACTTTGATCCTTCCCTCCCCAGGCTCTTGTCTGCCTTTGGCCTGCCCTGCTCCCTGCTGCCTCCCTTGGTGTCTGGGCCTCCCTGCCCTGCCCCCTGCTGCCTCCCTTGGTGTCTGACCCTCCCTGCCCTGC